AATTAAACACTTACTGTAAGGTTAAGTTTTTCATTAAATCAATAGGCCCCTAGTGTCAGTTACAAAGCCCTAATTACTATGCAGTAAATTTAGATTGAATTTGAATTAAGGACTGATTTCAATCTAACCGCAGCATGTAAATATTGTAAATTACTAGAATTACAGTTCAATAAAATTGAATGGATTTCACTTTAGATAAACCAAATGCAAATGAGAAGGAAAAGATAAAATGATCTGATGAAATTTCCTCCAAACATCTTGCCAACAAGCGTTTCACATCACATGTAAGATATTGTTTTGGCAATGAGCATGTCACAGCTCAATAGTTCCGCCTCCCTTTACTTTAGCATGTTTTAATATTTGATTATCTATAGTAAAAATGAATAAATTTAATCTCTCCCGAGTGATCAAACAAAATGATGGTTAATGTGGCCACTTACTGTGTTGTTTTAGTTTGATGACTGTATTGTTGTACTAAGGCACAGTATGAAATCGGGTTATCAGGTTATAACTAGCTGGGATAAAACACACAAGCAAGCAGCACTCACACCAGGGCTGAGAAATATAAAAAAAAAAAAAAAAAAAAAAAGAATAACAAGCCACATTCTAAGCACAAATCAGATCATTTTAAAGTTTAAAATAAATAAATAAATAAATAACTCTAAACTGAAAATGTACGCAAACAAATCTTGTGATTAACAATGGCATAAAATTGAAAATAGTGAAAGGTTTACAATTTTTTCATCTTTCTTGACATATTTTTACCCACTGACTTAAAAAAAAGAATTCAAACGATCAGTGTAATCTTTGACTATAAAATATAGGAAATACTCCTTGCTGAATGTGTTTTGGCAGGGTTACGTTTGTTGATAAGGAAATGCTGGTAACTATTTTTTCTTTGAAAGGGAAGTTTGAAAGATTTTTTTTAAATAATGAAATGAATACCATGATGCAATTTATATTGACATCTTTCTTAAGTTATCTGCCCTGGAATTTTGATTAGGGCTGAACAAGGGCCAAATGTCAACATTGTATATATAGTAAAAAATACACTTAAGAAAATTTAAAAAAAATCTACAACTAAAAGAGCAATTAGCATATAAATGAATTTTAAATCAGTCCATTAAAATGTACCTCTAGTATTGACACAAGAAGGATATTTTAAGTCTTATTTTTTCCCTTGCATATATTTTAGTGAAAGTTTCTCTTGAAAATGATTTTTAAAACCTGTTAGAGGGTTTGAAAGAGTACTGCCTTATGAAAGGTATGGATTTGAAGCACAAAACAAGTGTGATTTTTTTAATTGCTTGTCTTTCTTTTTGATGAGGTTCACTCAATTAGCTTCATGTTGTGAATCTACTATTTATGGCCATGAAAGTCAAAATTGTACTTTTCATCATAGAGAAATATCACAGCAGTCATAAGCTGTAAAAATAGCAATTAAAAAATACTTTACCTCAAAAGCAGTATTAACTGGCAAGAATGTTACAGATTCTTGACAATTTTAGCTCACAAATACTGAAGCAAAACTGTCCAATAGATAATAGGCCTTTTGAGCATAAAGCCAAATATCATTTTTACACTGTGTACAAAGAAGGAAGTCAGATTTGTTTCTTGTATGGCTGTATGTTTATATTTTCACAAGATTTTTTTCTACTTTTACCTGAGGAGATCAATGATATACACAAAGAATAATTGTAATTTGTAGCAAGTAGGATATCTCTGCTTTGCTGTCATAGAAGGTGGACTGTTTATACATCAGATATTTGAATATCATATTAGAAAAGAAAATTATCTTGTCTTCATTACATTTATATTAATGTCTGTGTCTTCAGGTTTTCAAAGGATGAGAATAAAATTAGAGAATGGTAAATTATATAAAGGACCATTCAAATAAAAGACATTGAAGACACACAATGGATCTTTAGAAAGTTCATGGTAAAGTGACAAAGAAAAAAGTGGGAGTAGCTTTCACATTAGAGAGAAAACCTTATTAGAGAGATTTCTTTTTTTTTTTCTTTTTTCTTCTTTGCAGTTATTAAGGTGTCTATTTAAATCTTTGGGGGTAAAGAAAGACTACACCACACCAATCACAAGCATACATTTAGCAGTTCATAATCTGAAACAATGCCACACATTTCTACTGCAAATGAACAGCCCATACTTCTGCATCTGTAACTTTCAACCACTATTAATCTCTCTGTGTGAGTGGAAATATTTATGGATACGAAATTTAAGGGAAACAGTATTTGGTGTCAGCGAATTAAGTAAGGATAGCTGAATAAATCTGTACAAAGTATTTCAGCCTATATGTAGAAAGGTGTTTTTTTTAAAGTCTTCACAACATATTTTTCCCTGCAAGCACTGATTAAAAATCAATATGTTCTAAATGCTATGGTGTTCATTAGGTGGGTATCATCTTCATTCTTTGTTAATTTACATCATAATAAAGTACTAAATTTGGAACACTGAGCCTTAAGCTATATAAAATCTAGGAATCTGCTTTCTAGATATTTTTTTTAAAAATTAAGAATACTATAGTCCTTTTTTATATATGAGGAATATATTCTAAGAGATCTAATAGTTGCCTGAAACCTGGGCTAAATTATAAACTCTTGATAAAGTGTATTTCCCATGCTACCTATAATATAATTATATTCATTATATTGTGCCTGGCACAATAACGAAGCACCAGTGGCTCAAAACTATATAATCATAGCTACTCAAGAGGCTGAAATCTAAGGTTCATCGTTCAAAGCCAGAAAGGCTGTGATATTCTTATCTCCAATTAACTACCAAAAATAAAAAACAAACAAACAAAAAAACAGAAATGAAGCTGTGGTTCAAGTGGTAGAGTGCTAGCTTTGAGGAAAAAAAAGGGGGCAGGGAGAAGGCCAGGGACAATGCCCAGGCCCTTAATTCAAGCCCCAGGAGCAGAATAAAAAGAAATAAACGACTGACTGAATAAATAAATGGGCACAATAGGAAATTAATAAAAAAATAGAAAAATATAACCATAGCCAGAAAAGGGCATTTACTGAAACTACAGATTCCAGCACCAGACTGGCTAGATGTGCCACTTCCTGGCTATACTTATACTCCAGTTTTTAAACTACATTGTGCCTTAGTTTCATCACCGTAATATTTGATATAATACTTCATATGAAGAGGTCACAAAAAACGGCAACACCTCTTCCATTCTTAAATCTGTTATAGATCTTTTTTTTGGGGGGGGGGTCTGGTCGTGGGGCCTGAACTCTGGGCCTGGGTGCTGTCCCTCAGCTCTTCAGCTCAAGGCTAGCACTCTACCACTTGAACCACAGCGCCACTTCCGGCTTTTTTCTTTTTGCTTATGTGGTGCTGAGGAATCGAACCCAGGGCCTCATGCATGCAAGGCAGCCTCCTGTTATATATCTTAAAAACATGAGTATGTAAAAGATCACAAATCATAGAAATACTCTTTTTTATGAAAGCTATACAAATGGAAATGGTGACACCTTATAAAACAACTCTATATATTTTCAATGATATCAAATCAGATAGTAACAGGATGAGAGCCACAGAAGAGCACCTGACTCTCCATGTGGTACTTTTGAGGAGGGAGATGGTAGTGGTGAGAAGTTTGGGTTTTTATTTGGTATAATTTTGGTACTGTATGGATGTGATTAGGAAGATTGTACTCCTTCTAGTATGTAGACAACAATAAAGCTTACCAAAACAGAATGCAGGGGAAAAGAAAATTACACTAAGGAATTCTTCTCAGATTTTCTCATAAAATTCCATTCACAACATTCACAAAGCCTTACCCTAAACTATTTCATGCTTTCATTTAGTTATTTAATTTTGACTTCTCATGGGGAATTTTTTAAGGCTAGGATTTTCAGGGTAAATAAAGGTACTATATGACAATTTGAGGATTCATTATTTATTTTGAATCATAGTTGTTTCCTTTACCTTTTAACATAGCGATAATGTTGCTGACAACCCTAAACCTTGTGCATCTATACACATGTGAATATGCATAGATATGAATAGCATGCATAGTTTTATATATATGTATATATAAAGAGCTTATAATATTTATAACTGTCAAATATTACACTACATATTCATAATATATAACATTTACTTGATAAACTATATACGGGAAAGTATATGGAATAAAAGTTAAATCATATATAGGTATATAATAGGTTCCATAGGTTTATGTATCTATACTGAATATAACTATAGCATTTATATGATATATGTGTATAATATATATGTGTGTATACACATACATAGTCTTAAAACTTTGTATCTCTACCTACATAAAGCTGATATTTGATTTTTAAACATACTGAAATTGTTGGGGGCTTTTTTATACATATGTTGATTTAAGCAGAAAGGAATAAAAAAACCATCCATCTAAATAATTGTTTTCTTATTTATTTATTTATTATTGCCAGTCCTGGGACTTGAAATTAGGGACTGGGCACTTTTGATCCACAGTATCATTTCTGGTTTCTTGGTGGTAAATTGGAGATAACAGTCCTACAGATTTTCCTGTCCAGTCTGGCTTCAAACCGTGATCCTCAGATCTCAGTCTCCTAGGATTAAAGAGGTGAGTTATTGGCACCTGGCTCATTAACAGTGTTTTGTATTCTAGGCTATAACATCAACTTATAATTAGCATCCAAATCAATGCTGAATCTTGTGTTTGGTTAACATCAAACCTATGATAACAAATGTCAATAAAATGTGACACCATTTCACTGCTTAGGTTTAACCATGTGCAACTTCAGTGTTGTTTGTTAAAAACACATCTTTCCCACTGTCCATAATTTGACACAAAATTTCAAACTCATTGCTCCATTCTCATACTTTTGATTTTCTGCATGAACTACAATTTCTATTCTCTTTTTCTTTTTCTTTTTTTTTGGTCGGTCATGGGGCTTGAACTCTGGCCTTGGGTGCTGTCCATGCACTCTTCAGCTCATGGCAAGGCAAGCATTCTACCACTTTGAGCCACAGTGCCACTTCCGGTTTTCTGGTGGTGAATTGGAGATAAGAGTCTCACAAACTTTCCTGCATTGGCTGGCTTTGAACCACCATCCTCAGACCTCGACCTCCTGAGCAGTTAGGATGACAGGCGTGAGCCACCAGCCCCAGCATGAACCACAATTTCCAGGTGTTAATCATAATAAATAAACAAAGTTTCTATTAATGTGGAAGTCAGCAAAGAATAGTTAAAAAAACAAAACGTTTCAAAATAAATTTGACAGGCTCCTAGCAAGTTAGTGAATAGCTTTAAGTGTATGTGTGAGATACTATGAACATATATTTATAGGTAGCCCTACAGAAATCTCGAAATTAACTATAAACTAATCTCATTTGTTTGATCATAAAATAGTGTTAACAAAATATAGACATATGATATTTGTCATTGTAATTGCTGGGTAATAATTACAAACACACTGTGGCATAGACCTTAAGATCTCTTCCCTATTCATCCTTTTTCTTAGTGTCACTTTAGTGATCTTAGTATTATAGCTGCAGGAACTGAATTTACATCCTGAAGTATATATTTTAATCTACCCATAAGCATGTATGAAGACTGTTGAAATTTTTTTAATGGGCCTGAGGGAGGAGGGAAAAAGATGGAAGGAGTGAGTTTGATTGGGATACAATGCATATATGTATAAAATATAAAAATAAAATATCACTTGTATAATCAATATATGATAATAAAATATTTAAAAAACCTACCTGTAAACATATATAGTTGGGAGAAGAGGAAGGATAGGTTATGCCTATAATCCTATCTATTCAGAAAACAGATCTGAGGATCATGGCTTGAGGTCAGTCTGGGCAAGAAAAGTCCTCGAACCTCTTACTTTCAAGTAACCATCAAAAAGCTCAAAGTGGAGCTGTGGCTCCGGTAATAAAGTTCTGGCTTTGAGCACAAAAGCTCAGGGACAGCACCTAGGCCCTGAGTTCAAGTTTCAGACTGGCATAAGAAGGAAGAAAGGAAGGAAGAAAAAAGAGAAGAGGAGGGAAGGGAAGGAGAGAGTAGAAAAGGGGAAGGGGAGAGGAGAGGAAGAGAAAGAGAAAAGAATAGAAAACAGGTCCAATACGCTGTGTGTGTGTGTGCGCGCGCGCGTGCGTGCGTGCGTGCGCGCATTTTCACATTTTTTTATCAACAAAATAGCAGGGGTTTTTCTGTAAATTCCCTCTCCTTGTTTCAAGACATGCTATGTACAGGTAATTTGTTATTTGCTTTGTGATATATAATGTATTGAAATGTGGGGTTCTAGAAAAGAATGCACAGTTGCAAGTCTGAGACTTTTATGGCACTTATACCAAGAAAGGTATTATCTCTTGTTCCATTTAATATTTTCCAAGACATTCTTAATGCTTATCTACCATGATGTCTGAAAATTTCATTGCTTAAAATAGCCATATGAAATTAACATTTAACATTAGGAAAATCTTAATGTTTAAAGCTATTATAGCTTAATTTTGAATTTGGCTTCACAAAGTACATTAATTGGATGGCACACAACACCAATTATTTATTTGCTCAGAATGTTCTTTGTGGTCCGCACAAATTCTGAATCTTTTCAATTTGTCCTTTTTCTCAACTATGTGTAAAATTTAGAAAAGATAAACTTGCATGAGAATGTTCAGAGCATTACTTATTTATATGTAAAACCTTTATTCTATTTTGTTATTTTAGATTAAATCCCAATTCAATTCTATTCTCTCAGGGAAGCATTAACAGTTTGAGCTCAGCGTGAAAACCATCAAACACTTGAGCTGAAATTTAGATTGGGCAATTTTGCCTGGTGAAGTAGAAAAGGACATGGGGAATGGCGAGAAACAGGATGGCTTCTGGAAAGGCAGATGTTTTAATAATGTGTCATCTAGTGGGAGCTGCAGATATCTAAATTTAAATCACTTCATATATTTAAAGAAAGTATGTCAAACCAAAATAATGCTCGTTTACAGAGAAAATTAACAAATTTTTCTAAGTACCTGTCTTGCATGAAAGTGAAGGATTAAATTTCATCTGTGTATATATATTCGCACAGGCTAAACCGAAAGGTGATTATAAATATAAACTTCAAAATATGAGTGGACAGTAGGACATTCAGGACATCCATTGTGATCCTTTGTTGGTTAGACACTAGATCAAACTGCTGAATGATTGCGGCAGTGAGGAGAGGAAGTAAAATTGCAAAAAAAAAGCAGTCTTTATATATATGTAGGAACATTGAAGGGATGGGAATGTGTAGGATTGGGAGAGGTAAGAGCGAACGATGAAAGGAGTGACATTGATCAAGGTCCATTGTATTCACCAACTAATACGATGCATTGAAACTCCTTTGTACAAGTACTTAAAGATGGTAATAAAATTTAAAAAAAATCAGAGTCCACACTAAAGATGACATTTCAATGCAAGACTACTCTAATGCATGCCTTGAAATGATTATTTTTATAGCTTTGCTCAAGGAAATAGCAAGATTATTATAATACTATATGATAATGTTACATTAAAATAAACTCTAAGCTTGTAGCGCATTTGCATTTTATAGACTGATTTTCACAAGGAAAACTATCATTGTTGCTTTTTGAAGAGAATTGACCACCCATAAAGTAAAAGTGGTCTCTCGACAGGCTCATTTTATAAGTTCTGTCCCATTAAGAATAATTGAAATATTTGCCAGTAGCTTTTAATTGATGTGATTATAATTTTCATAAGGATACCTTTTCGTAGAATCCAATCTGTTTTACAAATAAACACACATTTTCTATTCTTAGTGACTTGAGAATGCTACCCTATCTTCCTGAAAAGAGGAGAGGAATGAATAAAGCATTTACAAGTTTCTTGACGTACACCCCGAATAGAAATACTGAAATTATGGACTCTTGTTTTTTCCTCCTTGAAGTGTTCACAGGATTCAGGATGTATAAATGCATGTGCGTAATTGGAACCCTTGTCAGTGACAATGAGTCACACCCAGATGCTCATGCCACACTGCTTTCCAATTAGCTGGATCTGAATTTTTCATTGTCCCTGGCAGCAATTCTGTGACTGAATATTTCAAGACCAGCTTAAAAAAAATCTTTTATGGACATAAGACAATTCTTTTTAAAAACCAATACTCCAGTTGAGAGTAAAATCCAGATCACATTTCAGTCATGTTACATAGAGCAGTGGGAAACAGCGAGATAGTTAAATATGTAAGTGTTCACATATTTTATCATTTTTAAATAAGCACCAATAAAGTGAGACGCAATTCGATTTTATCTTCTCTTTAAGGTTCTCCTGCAAAATAGACACATTGAGAAACAGACCCTGTAAAGAATTCCCTCACTAAGTTAGTAGAAAGAGAGAAGTTTAAAAAAATGGACATATAGGTATTGAGCTAACTACCTTACAAAATTCTCTTTTCTCATTTCTTTTTTCTGAAGTAACTAGATCACAGAAGGGTTTTGGAGTTTGACAAGAACCATAGAATTTGCCAGCAGGGGAAGAATCAAAGTAAGGAATTCGGAATAGGAACTTGATAAATAGTCTTTAAATAAGTCTTTAAATGGATGAACAGATGCATAAACAAATTAATTAAATCTTCTTTAAGGAAAATAACTTCACCTCTGTGAGCAGTTTTTGGAGACGATTGCATGGAAATGACTGGCTTTTCAGATTTGGGAGGTATGTGCTTTCTGGAAAATGTTGCATACATGTGATGTTATTACCGTCCATCTTTTTTTGGAGATGTGAGCAACATCTCATTTAGAGACTGTCTTTCTGTACATACTTCTGAGGAAGAAAAAGACTTCTGTATTCAATTTTTTTTCTCTACATAACTATGTGATCACAAAAGGTAATTCTGAAGCCTCTGAAACCTTTTGTGTGGTCATCACCAAGTCATTCCAAAACCTATTTATGGGCACATTCTTTCAGAAAGTGTAATAAATAGTTCTCCAAAATGGGCAGTACATTCTTTTATACTTAGCACATAATGCTCTCTTTCCCCTCTTGAATGGGATGTATAATTTAAGATTATTGCATGCTATGTGGGGTAAAAGTAATGTTATTTTCACTTTAGCTCTACAGAACACTAAACAGAGAATTTCCAAAGACTGCTGCTACTTTTGTTCTGGATGTTGTTGTGAGGGTCGAAACCACTTGATGAATATATTTATCATACCCTAAGAACACATCAGTCATAATTTGAGTGGTTCACTTGTCCACAACTCATATGAGGAAGAAACAGACAATAAAGCCCCAATAATCATATATTAAAAGCCACTTGGATAAACAGAGCAAGTTGTTGCTTCATTGTGAGCCAGCCAGAATAACATCTATCAACTTATCTGGCATTGCAATTTCGTATTCGTTGTGCTAAGGTTGCTATATTATCAATGTCAAAAAAAAAAAAAAAACAAACTCAAAAGTCTTATCTTTAACTTTCATTCCAGGGCTTCAAAAGAGCTTTGAATTTGCATCTTACTCTAGGGAAGATGTAGCTTAAAAACATTTTTGCCCAGCTTGCTCCATTAATTTCTGAGGAAAAGGCACCTACTGCTGTGAATATGACAGTTTTCAACCTTGGTGTTTTTACAGGATACCCCTCCCCAGGGAACAGACAGCACCATTCTGAACCACACTGCCTGCTGGGTAATCAGCTCTGGCTCTGCAAGGAGAGACCTCTTTGGGATGAACCCAATGCCCCTTTCGAGAGCCAAGGAAAAGGAGAGCATCAGCTTGGTGGGAGGGTGGGGGTGCAGAAACACATTTTAAGTGATCACCTACAATCAGTGTGAAGGATAATTTGCTGATGCTTCCTCTGACTCAGTTATTAGAAGCACTTAGTACTCTTTTTGAGGGCTAGAAAACTTTAACTAAGAGAATCTTCATCATAGCTATCAGATATTTTCCCCCAATTACTTCCATGGATTCAGGAGATAAATTCATTTTGTAATGATTATCTGACTCAGGTAGAGCTGATTTTCTATAACTCTAGGCTGAAGCCAGTGACAAGGGCACAAAAAGGATTATTTTTTTTCAGCAGTTTTCAGCCGAGCTAAATCAGCAGATAATGGCATGTATGATGCAGAGTGATTCTGACCTAAAACCCCTCTCATTGTTAATGTGTCTCACATCTCAAATATGCCACAGAGGCAAAAAATATTCTATAGACATTCCCACTGTCTCCAGAGAGGACAGGGACAGGTTTAGGAATTCTTGATTTTCACGCTTTCCATCAATTATTACTCAATGGCAATTGCTCAATAAAACGTCCAAGAGCTCCTTTTGTCTTCATAGAATTTCCATGTGGAAGGACACCAGCTAATAGATAAAGAGACAGTAGATTTATTTGCATGACTTTGTTGTGTCAGGTCCTCCCTAGTCAATAGGGTCCCAAATAAATCAAGGTACCACATAAAACTTCTGACTCTCTGGCAAAGAAAAATATAGCCTGCAGTTCTCTCATGTTAGAGATTATTTCAAGATGCACACATGCCTATTTTAGGAAAGACATTCAGGGAAAAGGTCATGCTTTGGTACGCAGGCAAATTATATAATTCTTTAAAATCCTGAATTTTTCACACACCATATATGTTAAGTAGGTGTGTTTTTTCCCTAGTCTTTTCAGGACCTCATCATTATTCATTGAAAGATAGGACTTTGATCTCATTATTAGTTGTTGTTGTTGTTGTTATTGTTGTTGTTGGTGGTTATGGGGCTTGAACTCTGGGTCTGGGTGCTGTCCCTGAGCTCTTCAGCTCAAGGCAAGTCCTCTACTACTTGAGCCACAGCGATACTTCCGGTCTTCTGGTGGTTAATTGGAGATAAGAGTTTCAAGGACTTTTCTGCTCTGGCTGGCTTTGAACTGCAATCTTCAGATATCAGTTCCTGAGTAGCTAAGATTACAGGCATGAGCCACTGGTGACCAGCTATCATTTGTTTTGTTTTGTTTTTGTTTTGTTTTCCATCTCTTCAGACTCCAGAGTTTCTTCAATGTCTACCTAAAATTGTAGGTGTGGAAATATAGGAATGGAGTTAGGGTCTTCATCCCTATTATAATAAGGAAGAATAGCTGAAAATGACCAGGCAGCGCACATGAGCATACAATATACATGTGGTATGTGTTATGGAGTTCCCACTCAATATATAATCATTAAGTGGATGAATAAAATGAGATGGTATAGTCATTCTGTCTCTTAGAATTATTTTCTAGTTTCTATCACATTTCCGTATTAACTGGCAAAAGGCTGTTAGTGCTCTGATTTTAAAGACAGAATCCATTACAACATTCAATGATGGTGCTTATTTCCATATGTGTACACGCCTATTTATGAATATGCAGATGCATAATTGTGATGGGAATTGTGATAATGGCTAAATAGTATCAACCTAACCATTGCTGTTAGCAAATGGGAAGCCAGCAGACATGTCTTCTCCTAGTGAATCTTAGCCGAGAGAATCCACAAAGACCAATTTGAAAAGGACTGTTTCCTCATGAAACAATTATTTCAGCCTCGCATGTGGCTATGAAAACACTGTTGCCCTTGTTTAAAAATTGTCTTTGGCACTTGTCTTTGTTTAAAATCTCTGTATTTTGTTCACTGTAGCTTTTTGGATTCATTGTGATTTTTACAACAGTTTCATTTAAATACGGTTTGCTTCGATTCTTAAAGTATTGCCTTTTGTGTTTTCAGTTTGCATTTCATGCAAGTGCCTCAGTTAAAAGCAGGATTAAACAAAATTATGTCTAGAGAAGCCAAATCTAAAACTCTCTATGATAAAACCAGAATTTGTTCAAGTGATTTTTCTAAAATATATTGTCTCAACAAATTCTCAGGACTTACATTTCATTGCAAAGAAACTGAGGCACAGAGATGTGAGTGTCTTCCTAGAGTGGACATAATTAGCAGGTGGAATGGCTCAGATTCACCCAGACAGGGGTAGCTTTGGGACTTATGTTTTGATGATTATGCTGTATTATGAAAGTAAATAAAATGGAACAGTACCATAACTTTTTATTTTCCTTTAAAGGGCTTTATAACATGCTTACATTGTCTGCATCTATATCTGGAAGGTTCTCTGCACCTTTTCCTGGCCCTCAAGGTAATCTCTCCTCGTAAGAATCCACTCTGGCTTCCTCATCCAATGAGAAACTTGGCAGCAGGCACTAGGGTTGGTATTGTTTTCTGCCCTCCATTAAACTGACTGTTCTGTGTGCAGGTAAGCCTAATACCCCTTTGCTCAATGGGATATCCTCCTTTGCTTATAGACCCTGAGTTCTTCAACCATTTACCTGTCTAGTTGCAAGCACCCCCTCACCACAGTACTTTTACCCTAAATCTCACCTCTCTCAATCCTCTTGTAAATGAATGACTAGGTAGGTAAATAAACCAGACTTGTAGGAGTAAAATTTTCTGGACAGATGCCTAGACAGGTGGCTGAAGGCCTTCCATTAACTTACAAAGGAATACCTCAAAAATACGGTCCCTTGGAAACGGAGAAAACTGTCAAAACAGGGAGGTCATCCTATGACCTCTCTAGCATTTCTCCCATAAAGACACTCACACAGAGGTGTCCTTCCTTATCCTCAGAGAGAATAAAGCCCACTCCACAGTGTAAAGAAGCATCTGAACCAACAGATTTTGCTATAGTCCCTGCAGTTCATTGCCATTAGATCTGACTCTTCCATCTCCAATCACACTTGTGCATGGCTATTTATAAATATATCAATTTTCCTTAGGTATTTGGCTTTTCATTTCTGAAATCTTCTATACTACAGACAACATTGGTTAAATAAATTTGTTATGCTCTTATCTTGTTACACTGTCTTTGGTTATCAGGTATCACTCATGAACATCTTCATGGACAAAGGAAGACAATACTTTTTGCTGGGTGGTTCATGACTATAATCCTAGCTCCTTAAGAGACTAAGATCTGGGGATCATGGTTTGAGACTAGCCAGGGGAAAAAATATCTGTGAGATTCTTACCGTGAATCTATCAGCAAAAAGCAGGAAGTGGAGGTATGACTCAAGAGGTACAGTCCAAGCGCCTTGAGCACAAGAGCTGAGGGACAGTACCAGGCTGTGAGTTCAAGCCTTAGGTCTAGTGTGCGTGCGCATGCGCGCGCGCGCACACACACACACACACACACACACACACACACACACACACACACACACACAGAGCTTTTTCTATTCATAGTCACATTTACCCAGAATTCTTATAGGCCTTGAAGGCATTTCTCTTTGCAAATGCAGAAAGTAGGGTGAGGTTATAGCACTTAAAGAAATGCAGGAATTCAAGACAAAATGAAGTTTCTATAAACCAAATTTAAAATCTTATTATTAGCCTTAACTTCACCATCTTCTCTTAAAATATCTGTCTTCAATAACCTATATGACTAGTTAATCTGTAGCTGATGGGAAGAGTGAACAAATTCAATTCTGGACTTTTCTAACAGCTTCAAAATAATGTAATACAGGAAGTACAAAAAGTAGAATCTAAAAAACCATGACAATCTCTAACAAAGTAAATAGCATACCTGAGGTTTCAATTATCTATGCAATATCTAACCATCCAGCTCTATCCATATTAGCTGTCTGTTTTGCTTGAGGTTAGGTATTTCAATTAATGCTGCTAAGTCTTCATCTAATTTCCCTTACTATTTGTTTATTACTTATTTTTCTTTCTTTGTTTATTTTAAGATAGCATTTTTATTAATCCTTAGGAAAAGCATTTTTATAATGAAAAATGTATGGGAGGTAGTAAAGCCAGTTTTTCCATGTCAGTCAAGGCCCTGAAAAAATAACAGCTTGCAATGCCTCTTTGTCGTGGTGTAGCTGAGACATTTCTCATTTGACTATCTTCTTGTAAAAACAAGCAAAAACAACAACAACAAAAAAGAACAGAAAAATGAAAAAGTCACAAATTTTAATAATAACTCAGGGAAATAAATTAGTTACATCATATGAAGGAGATGAAAATACTGGTATTGACAGTGATTTTGCTACTGTAGATATGCTAGTGTTAAGTGATTTCCTAAGCCCAATTTTTATAGAACTGAAGAAGAACAAAAAGTAGTTTCAGCAGGGAACTTTAGCAAATCATGTTACTATGGGTTAAGAAAATTTTACATACTTCCAAAGAGAACAAGGTTAAAAACTATAAATCCAAGATCTCTGACAAAGCAGAACTGATACATCATCTTCAAAATGAAATCTTGATTTTTTAATATTATTAATATGGTTATTTTATTGAGAAAATACTATACAGAGGGGTTACAATTACATGAGCAAGGTAATGACTACATTTCTTATCAAGCATTGTTGCCTCCTCCTTATTACCCCTCCCCATCCCTGTCCTCCCAGACCTCCCCCACCACCAAAGTTGTAAAGTTCGTTTTTCAATGTAATGTCTTGTATATCTCATTGTTGCAATAGGTACACCTGTATCCCTATTTAAACAATTTGTTTTTTCCCTTCCCATCCCCAAATTATACCAACATCAAATACAGTGAAAACAGGGTTTATACTATGGGGGAGGGACATACAAAGTAACAAAAAAAGCATCTTATAAATATGTTAGAAACAATTGCAAGGAAGAAAAAACATTTGAATCCTTATCTTGGGGTTCATTTCACCTAACATTAAGTTATCTGACCATTTCTGCTGTCTCAGACATATAATAGTTATTGCAAATAAGGGAAACCATGGGACCTATGTTTCTTTGGGCCTGGCTTACTTCACTAAATATAATTTTTTCCAAGTCTTTCCATTTCCTAACAAATGGGGCAATGTCATTCTTTTCCATTGTGTATATATACCACCTTTTCTTGATCCATTCATCTACTGAGGGGCATCTGGGTTGGTTCCATATCTTAGCTACGGTAAATAATGCTGCAAGAAACATAGTTGTGCTGGTAGCTTTAGTGTGGTCTTGTTTGTGATCATTTGGGTAAACGCCCAAAAGTGGGATTGCTGGGTCATAGGGGAGCTCTATGTGGAGTCTTTTGAGGAACCTCCATACTACTTTCTAAAGTGGTTGAACAAAGCAGTGGGGTTCCCTTCTGGCCACATTCCCTCCAGCATCTATTGTTATTAGAGTTCTTGATTATAGCCATTCTAACTGGGGTGAGGTGGTATCTTAGTGTTGTTTTGATTTGCATTTCTTTTATGGCTAGGGATGTTGGGCATTTCTCCATGTGTCTATTGGCCATTCTTCTTTCCTCTTCAGAGAAGTTTCTCTTTAAGTCTTTAGCCCACTTATTTACTCGACAGACCTCAAGACCAATGGAATAGAATTGAAAACCCGGAAATGAACCTACAGACCTATAGCCATCTAATCTTCAATAAGGGAGCTAAAACAATAGAATGGAAGAAAGACAGCCTCTTCACTAAATGGTGCTGGCAAAATTGGTTAATCACTTGAAGAAAACTAAAGTAGATCCTTATATATTACCCTGCACCAGAATCAACCCCAAATGGATCAAAGACCTCAGACTCAAAGGGGACACCCTGAAAACATTACAGGACGGAATAGGAGAAATCCTAGGTCTCCTTGGCACAGGCAGAAATTTTCTTAATAGAGACCCAGAAAAAACACAACAAATCAAAGAAAGGTTAGACAAATGGAATTGCATGAAATTGCAGAGCTTCTGCATGGCAAAGGACATAGCTAGCAAGATCAATAGAAAGCCCACGAATTGGGAGAAGATCTTCAGTAGCCATACAACAGACAAGGGTCTCATATCTAACATATCTAAAATATACCTGGAACTCAAAAAATTAAATCCCCAAACAACAAATCCTCAAAGAAATCCTGATTTAGAATTGCTTCATTAGACCTCCAGCATCAGGGGTGCATGTAAGTTGGACTGCTCTAGCCATGAAAAGAAACAGATTTTGAGGGGACGTTTGCTGTGGACTCTCAGAACAACATTATAAGGTCCATTCCAGTGTATAGATTTCTCTTCCATGGTGACAAGAAATGTACTTGAATAGTAAACCACCTTATATTAAATACTGTGTGTAAGACTTTATACTATATCTATCTATCTATCTATCTATCTATCTATCTATCTATCTATCTATCTATCTATCTATCTATCTATCTATCTATCTTTTTATCTATCTATCTATCTATCTATCTATCTATCTATCTATCTATCTATCTATCTATCTGCCATTAAGCCTAAGAAAATTCAAAAGAGAACTTTGGAGGGGGAAAAACTCTAAATATGGTATTTATAATACTCAAAATTCACTCTCTACAAAAAACGCAGGGAAACAAAAATGAACAAACATTTCTTCACGGTGTAAGTTAACTTATTATACTGCTGAAAGCTTAATAGGTACTAAATTGTTTTTAGATAAATGGAAGAAAATTTGCTATACTACTGCCCATAAGGTACTGTATATTTCAAAGAGCTAGAAGAAAGGAATATGACTGTTTTCACCATAAACAAGTAATACATGTGTCAGGAGATAGATATGTATATTCTGATTTAAATATTTTACAATGAATATATATATCTAGATCATTACATAGCATTCGTAAATATTATTTTTATACACAACTTAAAAATTAACTTAAAGATAAAATTGATTTCATCTTGAAATAAGTTATTTAAAAATATTATTAAAGCAAAAAGTTTCTTCTGAATAAGTTGTATTTTTTTATATAATTAGGATTTTTATAGTTGAAGTTACCTTTCATTTTCTCAATTAGAATATCTGTAAAATTAATTGGAAGAATGAAGGTCTAATTTCAAGTTAGGATGGTAAATATTTTCTCCTTCACATACACATACTGTTCTCAGATGAATCATTTTCTACTGGGGTGATATGGGGCTGTGTAGAATAATCAGATTTATTAATGAAATGATTATAAAAGCTCTGTGGTTTTCTTATACTTTGTATGCATATTAAATGACCGAGGTTGTAACTAATTGATTTCTAAAGGTATAAGAGAACAAGTTTCAGGTGAAACAATTTAATAGTGTAGACTTTTTAATAGTCTGAATGGCTATGAGACTAACAGAAGTAAAAGGAAATATCTAAAATACTGTTATGTTCAAAGGACAGGAAAAGAACCAGAAAATAATTAGCTTTTGCCTTAATTGTTTGCAACAGTTTCCTGGAACTACTTTTTACTTATGTTCACACAAAATTACTGACATTTAGAAATAGCTTACAAGTTTCTTGTCAGCTTGCTTTCCTGGCCATGAACCATGACTTAGTACCCTGTATTATAATAGTATAAGACAGTATACATGAGCTCAATTTCTAGGAACAGATTTCTACAAGTGCGTTTAAAGATGAAATTTTAGTGCAGAAATGTTTGTTAAATGTAGTATTTACAAATTATCTTCATCTATGTTAAAATAGCAATATTATAAGATATCTGAGACATAAGTTCAACCATTGTTTCTTAGTTGTCATGATCATATAAAATAGAAGTGATTCTAAATAATAGACGAAAACAAAAATCGTAACTGATTCTGCCTTACAAATCTGCCTTGTTGTTTGTTACTGCTAAAATATAGATAGATTACATTTTATTATTAAACTAGTGTGAACAACATTGTATCAAAGGAAGTCAAAGATGATGACAAAATTATAGCAAATGAACGCAAGAATTTATGCATGAGAATTGAAAATAACAATAGAACTATTTGTCGGGAAGTATTTCTTCTTGATTCCTTGGATTTAACATGTATATATCAACCGTTTATCATGTTTACAATAATAATGGCTATGTAGCTACTGAAAAAAATTCTGACATCCAAATTAGCATCTTACATTTACAAGCTGATATACCAAAAGGAAGCAAAAGGCATATTTACAAAGAAGCAAAAGGGGTTCACTAGAATCAAGAGGTTAGTAAAAATGTAGTGACATTTTCAAGAGCTGTATTTCTGAGGAAAGCTGAAGATTCCATGTGAAAAGCATGTTAAATTTGTGAGTGCAAAGACAAAATGCTGGCACAAATAAAATGCTTATAAAAAGCTGAAATTTAGGTTGGAATGAGTTTTTTTAAAAAAGATAGGCATGCACATCAGGCAGTTGGCAACAGTGTACAGTGAGAAACAGATCTGAGGCTTCATTTG